ATATATATATATATATATATATATATATATATATATATATATATATATATATATTTGTAGTTTGTATATCCAATTTTGGTAACACTTTAGAAAAGGGAACACATATTCACTATTAACTAATAGTTTTCTCTGAACAAACTCCTAATTTGCTGCTTATTAATAATTAATAAGTTAATTGTTAAGTTTAAGTATAGGGTGGATTAAGGGATTTAAAATACGGTCATGCAGAATAAGGCATTAATATGTGCTTTGTAAGTACTAATAAACAGCCAATATGCTAGTAAAATGCATGCTAATAAGCAACTAATTAATAGCTAAAATTGGGTCCTTAAAATAAAGTGTTACCAACATTTTTGTAGAAACTGTGATGCCTTTTTTCAGGATTCTTCAATGAATAGAATGTTCAAAAGAACAACATTTATTTGAGATAGAACCTTTTGTATCATTATAAATGTCTCTACTCTCACTGTTTATCAATTTAATGCATCCTTGATTATTAAAAATATCAAAAATCAAGAATGGCATATCTGTCAACACTACACATAAGCATACTGTCTTCGTCTGTGTATAGTTTCTCTTTAAGAAATAGTTACAGTATTGTTAACTGAGAACTGCTGATTTCTTTTAACAATGCCAAGAAATAATCTTCTTAAATCGTTATTTATGTAGGCGGATTGTGTATTGCCAACCCACTAAATCCACCATGCATGATTTTGTCTCTATAAGGGTTTGAGTCTGACTTTGGGTTACTGGCCTCTTAAAGCTCTTTCTGACAACTCCAAAATAGCAACTCCAGATTTTCATAGCTTTTCATATTCATATTGATATTGCTTGTATTATTTAATTTTTACTATTTCTCTGATTTATGACAAAATGTCTGTTCCCTTTGAGAAGGTTCCTCTTGTCTGTCTTTTCTCTAATGAACCTTGTATCACTGTTCATGAGTGAGCTCTCAGAGCAATCTGCGAACACGAAAGCTGCTAAAGGCTATGTTTAGACACCCGTTCATGTCGCCGGAGGAGAGCGTGTGTGAGTGCACAGATTCTCTCAAGTACTTCTCTTTTTTTTTTCTCCTCAGTCACACCTGCCTCTGTCACCTCATCTATTTATACCCCTCATTTTTCATTAGACAAATTAAAACTGTTGCTCTCGGCATTTGACGTTTCTCCAGGTCAACGGTATCGGCATAGGTGTTCATACTTCACCTTTCCTCGTTTCGAGATCATTCTGGTGACACTGTGATTCCAAGACCTTGCAAATGATTGAGTTCTACCACCCTGATTGGCTATACAAAGTAACTTTTTTGTTGTAGGAGGCATGTGCACCTGTACTGCATGCCGAGAAGCTGTTGGTGCTCAGTGCTGAATATTTAAACAAGCTCATCTTTTATTCCCCTCCACGGAGCTTTGCACCTTTGGCCCCTGCCTAATTGTGGAGGCTAGCGCACAATCCTCACCTGCTCTGTGAGGTTTACAGCTAATTCCTTTGAAGGTGCTTCTTTTGTTCTCATTTGTTACGAAGACAAAAAGAGGCGTTGGCGTGCCAGCATGTATCATTTCGAAATGGTTGTTAGCGTTTGAAGTCTTAAATGCCAGGTGTTTCATCAGCTTTTTGTTAGATTTTCATTATATAATCAAGTTGAGTCATTTTTACTGTTGTGCTCTTAAGGCATTTTGAAACAAAAGGGTCGAATTCACTAAACTGTTGCATGGTATTTAAGCACAAAAGCCTGCAGTCTATTAATCCAGCTTTCAGTTTAACCAGGCACTAAATGCATTTAAATATAAATATATGTACATTTGGCAGTCAAATTTCGGAATAATGAATATTGAAAACAGTTGTGTTGCTTTAGATTCTTGTGGAAACAATGCAATTCTAGTATTTAAAAGTTTTGGGGTAAAAAAAGATAGTAAAAAATAAACAAAAAAAAGAAAGAAAGAAAGATTTTTATTCAGCAAAGCAGCATTAAATTGGTCAAAAGTGACAGTAAAGAGATTTATGTTACAAAAGATGTCTATTTCAAATAAATGTGGTTCTTTTGAACTTTATATTAATCAAAGAATCTTGAAAAAGGTATTACAACTGTTTTCAACATTAAGACAGCATTAATACATTATTTTCAACATTAATAAGATGTTATTGTAACAATAAATCAGCATATTAGAATGATTTCTGGAGGATCATATGACTGAAGACTGGAGTAATAATGCTGAAAATTCAGCTTTTCCATCATAGGAATAAATAACATTTTAAAATATATTAAAATAGAAAACAGTTATTTTATACTGTAATAATATTTAACAATATTGTTGTTTTTACTGTATTTTTATCGCTTGGTGACCACCAATGTATGCTCCTTTAATGCAAACACGTCTCTTATTTTGGTCATGGTAACAGTTATCCATAAATAAAAAAAAACACATTCAATTATATAAGCATAATTTTCATAATTCTTTTTCTAAATATGGTTGCAGAAACAATGCAGACAGCGCATACAAATAAACCCCATAATTAGTCATTCCTAGTGAACCTTTCCAAAATGTTTACTGTCATCAAATCATTTTGACAGCGTAGATGTTTTGAGAAGACATTTTGAGGACAAGTGGCTTTTCACATAGTTTTTGTTACTTTTTTCATCCATCTTTACACTTTCATTTATGAATAATTTGATTTGTTATTCAATATCACTGTAATGCGGTGATGTGCTAAAATAATACTAATTACTTTCAGAGCTGTGCTCTTTTAAGACTTGTGATTTAACTGTAGGGCCAAACAACTTCTGCTGTTTTTGTGACCTGCCTGTGTCTTGTTTGCATCACAGCTTTGAATATTTTATGTGTTGTTTATGGCGGTATGAAATGATATTTAAAAAAAAAAAAGCATTGTTTGGTTCATTCCATACGGATGGCTCATCTATAAATGATAATTGTTTGATTCTCTTCTGCACCAGAGAAGATGTTTTTAATGGATAGCCACACTGTTGTGTGAATACGGAGTAACTTAAACATTATTTCTCATCATCGCGAGTCAGTCTAATCCACGGGTCAGTGCGCTCATGCATCTCTTCCTCACGCGCTGCATAATGAAAGCGTTTGTTTACCTCTGTTGCGTAAATTGTGTCTTTTGTGCACGGCAAAAAAAGAGCCCAAGGAAGCATGCATCTCTTATCTCAGTCACACTCCTTACCTCCTGTTCATTACTTATATTTATCCAATACTCTTCTGAGAGGAGAAGCGCATCTCACAGAACGACAATTACTGTGGTTTATTCTCTGTATGTCACATTGGTGTGTGCTAGGTGTGACGTATGTTTGCAATTATGCAGTTTCTAATGTGTTGTATATATCTTTTATTTTAGTGCTTTGTAAACCTTATGATAGTATAAGCGTTTTGTGTCAAAACAGTATTATATTTATAATATGTAAATATTTTCCCCTGTTGTATTTTGAATTATCATTGTATGTCATTCATTGCATCATTTCACTCACATTTTTGTATATAAACACATTTTGATTGATATCTAACATTTCTTTACATGCACTACTGTTCAAAATTTGGTGTCAGATTCTTTTTTTCTTTCAAGAAAGTACTAATTTTATTTAGCAAGGACTTTTAAAAGTGTGTTTTTAATCCAAAATAATAATAAAATTAATAAATAAATTAAAAACATATTGGTGAGCATAAGTGACTTCTTTGGGGGAAAATAAACTTCTTACTGTCCCCAAATTTTCAATTTTGAACAATAGTGTATAGTGCCTTAACAATTCTAACTTAAATAGCACACATTTTTGCTGTGGTTTTGCTGCATTATCTGTAAGATTTTCCCTCATTATAAGAATTAAATTGCTTTCCAATTTGATATTTCTAATGAATCTGTTGTTTGTGGTTTGTAGCTCTTTATAATTACTTGCTGTATTGATCAATAATGCTAGATAAGTAAACAAAGGGATTGGCAATTACACACACACACACACACACACACACACACACACAAATATATTGTCATGCTGTCACATTTGTTTAATTTCAAAACCTCAGAATGACATTGTGTTTGGAAATGTTCTTGTATGTCTTTTATGTCTTTTAAACTGACTTTGAAATAGTCTAATATTTAATTGGATAGTCAGTCAATAATTAATGTTGATGGTTTTTCTTTTTGAGATCAGCATACTTTCTGTCTACATTGTTTAAGGTTATTTTACATGCAGAATAACTTGAAAGGTTTGTCTAAAAATTTTACGCTGGGCCTACACATTTTCTGTTTGGTTTGATGAATTAGTTGATGGTTGGTTTTTGTGTGAATTCTACAGCGGGTTCAACTTTCCTGAACCCGGACGGGGACTCTGGGACAGAGGCGGACAGTGAGCCGCAGCTAACCTTCTACACCGACCCAAACCGCAGCCGCCGTCGCAGTCGAGGTATGAGAAACGGTAACGTCAACACCGCGTGGGGCTCCGGGGGTAAGGAGGACTTCCACACCATCGCATGGTTTCAACCTGCACCACCTGATTGTGGCCATTTGGTGTTCATGTCACACTTTGTTCAGAAACCGAGCAAAGTGTTAGTTGTGAAGCGGCTTGCCTTACAACTATCTCACCGATTGAGGCATGTCGTTACGTGTGAGATTTGCCATTGATTTGCTATTGCAGTTGAACACTGTGTTAAAACAACTTACAGGAAAGCATAAGTGCTTAACTTTTTTTTATTCTTTTTTTTTTTTACTGTCCTCCAAATTGGACTGAGGGTACCTGAGCAATTTTTGAGTTTGCTAAGAGAATTCTTCAGAGCCTCTTTGTAGACTCCATGGACCTTCTCTGAAATGAATGATGACTAAATGCAAGCTTACAAGTATTTAAGCACCTTAAGCTTAGCAGCTTCGTCTGTAGACCACTATTCAACATTAAGCACGGTAAATGTGTGTATGTTAAGCGCTAAGAGAGCGTGTAACAAACCGGCTGGACAGTACTGTCAGACACTAATGGCTAGAGTCTGTCTAAAACTCTTGTATTGTCCCCTGAGGAGTGCTGCATTGTGTTCTGAAGAGTCCAGACTGAATGCAAAGCTCCCTAAACTCTTGAGGAGCTGCCACTTGAAAGGCAACTAACAGACAATCACTTTGCTTTAATACTTTCTCCCTCTAATTAACAAATGCTTAAACCCTGTACTTGTCAAAAACACTACAAATCAGCTGTAGCAACAACACCTTTAATTGGACTTAAGTTAATAATAGACATGGCTTGTCGCATTTTTTCCCTAGATGGCTGCGGGAAACTTATGATTGGGTGAGAGCAGTTTGTTGATTATGATAGACATGTTTGCATACGTTTATGTAAAAAAAAAAAAAAATGGTGTTATTTGTTAATAACTGTGTTAATAACTGTCTTATTTGAGTGAAGTGAAGTTTAAGTGAAGTTTGATCTGTAATTGCTGTGGCAATTATTTTTATTAGAAAATATTCTTATAAATCTCTATATTATAATAATATAATATAAGTAGTAATAATTTAAAATAAAAGTATAATATTACTTTTAAGTGCTATATTGCTATCTAACCCCTACCTAAATACTAAATACTGGCATTTATCTCTTCATAGTTGAAAAATTGGAGCTATCTGGTAATACTTACAGAAGGGATGGAGGCCAGGGGACAAAAAGCCAAATTATATTCTTATCTAAAATGAATAATTTTAAAATAGTTTTGCTGTAATTAATCCTTGAAAATGTGGTCCTCAGTAGAAGACCAAGTCCAATATGTTTCACCTAAGTCAAACTGACAAAATGCGAAAGCACCACTTCCTATAGTATAAATCAATACATGACTGATGAATACTCAATAACATAAGACGCATAAAACAGTTTTTAGATTTCAAGATCTGCCCACAGTCTTTTGTAGGCATTTGTATATATTTCTGGCAGATGCATGCAAATGTGTGAATCAATGCTTTCCATTTTCTTTTGATCATGCGTCTTCATTTCTTCAAAAGTCAACCTTCTGGTTTCAGTTAACATCCATATCTAAGATGATGTTATCTTAAGTATCTAAGCTTTAATATCACAAAACAGGGTTCTTCCTTTTGTAGTTGGCATGCTGCAATGCTAAGCATCTACACGGATGTCATTTGTAACTCATTGCTTACCCTCCTTGTGAAGGGTGTCAATGATTGTCTTCTGGACAACTGTCAGATCAGCAGTCTTCCCCATGATTGTGTAGCCTAGTGAACCAAACTGAGAGACTATTTTGAAGGCTCAGGAAACCTTTGTAGGTGTTTTGAGTTGATTAGCTGATTGGCATGTCACCATATTCTAATTTGTTGAGACAGTGAATTGGTGGGTTTTTGTTAAATGTGAGCCAAAATCCTCACAATTAAAAGAACCAAAGACTTAAACTACTTCAGTCTGTGTGCATTGAATTTATTTAATACACGAGTTTCACAATTTGAGTTGAATTACTAAAATAAATGAACTTTTCCACAACATTCTAATTTATTGAGATGCACCTGTACTGTATGTATCATCTGATTTCCTTTCATATGTATGTAATTGATGTTTCCAGTTGCTGAATGCTATTGTCCATGTTTATCCTGAGATGTTATTAATAACAGAGTTTTAAACGTCACTTGTGTTAATACATTTACATTTAGTCATTTAGCAGACACTTTTATCCAAAGCGACTTACAAATGAGGACAATGGAAGCAATCAAAATCAACAAAAGAGCAATGATATACAAGTGCTATAACAACTCTCAGTTAGCTTAACGCAGTACACGTAACAAGAGTTGTTAAAATAATATAGTACATAAAAAGAAAACAGATAGAAAAAGAATAGAGCAAGCTAGTGTTAGGGGTCTTTTTTCTTTTGTTAATTGTATAATAAATTAAAAGAAAACTGATAGAATACAAAAATATTAGAAAGCTAGTGTTAGTTTTTTTTTTTTTTGAAAAATAAATAGAGTGCAAGTCTAAAAGAGACAAGTGTTTTTTTTAAAGAATAGAATTAGAATAGAGAGTGCTAGAATTAGAGGGTCAAACAAAGATGGAAGAGATGTGTTTTTAGCCGATTCGAGAGCTGCTTGGATTGAGTTGGGCAGGCCATTCCACCAGGAGGGAACAGTTAATTTAATTTAATTTAATTTAATGAGCTACTGTAGATGACAATATCTGATCATCAGTATTGTGTCCTCATACATTGTGAATGGGTGTGTTTATGTCATCTTGTGTGTTGTTATAGTGCAGTGTCTTGTGCCTTTATTTTACATGTAACAGATGTACAGGGCAGCACTACACCAAACCAGTTTGGCTGTATTACAAAAACGTGGTTAAAAACAGCTCTTTTTCATATTTTGCCATTTGAAGTATTTAGCATAAAAGCAGCAGACTTCAAAAGGTAAAGTGTTGTCTCTCCGCTGCTCTATTTGTGCCAAAGCTGCCACTGCTCCAAGAGTTTGGCTGGCTGGTTTGATCCAGTGCTCCTTTCATGGACCACCAATACTGATGTGGGCAGTTTTTTAACTGCCTCCCTTGTGCCTTTCCGAGTTACACATAAAAATGTGAACTTTCCAATCTTGTAGCATCGCTCTTTTATTGCTTTCTCTCTCTCTTCTCCCTAGGTTCCCCACGGAGCCCTATCAACAAGACCACCCTGACTTTGATCAGCGTGGTGAGCTGTGTGATCGGCCTGGTCTGCGCGTCTCACCTCTCCTGTAGCCTCAACGTCAGAGTCATACTCCACGTTCCAGAGCACCTCATTGCAGACGGTAATCTCATCACCTCCTCTGCTTCCCGTCTGGCCCCTGAGCAGCGGGGGTCCTCGGCCCCCCGTCTACCCCTCACGATTTCTACTGTATTAAAGCAAATGTCATGCCGACTCTTGCTCTGTCTCTAGTGAAAAGCCAAACAGATGTGTGTTGAAAGCATCAAAGAACAATCAGAAGCAAATGCTTTAGTCTCTAGTTGTGTTTCAAATCATGTACTAGGCTATACACCATGTACTTGCACTACACTATGTACTTGGCCATCTAGTGAATTAATTTTTTAAGAGTCTCAAATGAAAGACTAACGTTTATTTTTAATTTTGGCACAGAAGATTTTCAGACAAACATTTGGACTCATTTTGTGTTGCAGTTAGCTTTAGCATGTCAGCTAACTTGAGATGATAGGCAAGTTATTATGAAAGCCCCACTTTCACTACAAGTTACTATAAAAAAATATATTGAAGGAGGCAATATATTTGTAGATATAAAATTTTTAAATTATAGGGTGCAACGGGGCACCGGAGTAAAAGGCAGATTTGGTTTTATTTCTCTCTAAACCATTAGAATGACACAAAAACTCACCGCAGCACTTTCCTACACATCCGCGTTTCATTATGCACTTGGAAATTTGTCTGATCATTGACGTGATTGCGATCATCAACACAAAGTCAATTCTGCATTAAGTTGATCTGATATTTAAAAAAAAATTATGTTATAAATGATTGTATCAAATAAGAATTGTTAAAATAATGAAATATATATTTAAACCATTGTGGAGACATTGTTAAAGATGTTAAACATTTCCTCTATTAGTGGGACTATTAGTCAAGTTAGTCGACGTTAAATTAATATGGGAACTCCTTTAAGCAGTGTAAGAAGCTTTCAGAATCTTTTTTTTATTATTAAAATGATCTGTCTTTTTAAAATGAATGTATTTTAACAATAGTGTATCTATCTTTTTAATAAAACTAAATAATTTTTCTTATCCAAACAGAATGCGGCACACACTGTGCTGAGATGTAAAAAGCAACCTTTAAACCTACAATTCATATTTTTAGGTAAAATAAAATTAGAAACAACCTAACAAAACATAAAAACATTTGAACTAAAACTAGAGTTTAAATTAAAAAAAATTCTTGCACAAGTGACTGCACAGGGACTCGAATCGAAAATGAATCATTATTAGTACATGAACCATTAGTACATGAATCACTGAATCTGAACAGACTGATTCAACTGAGAGTTTGAATGAGAGAAAAGACTATTGATTGATTATTTCCTTAGCCTGCTTGGCTATGTGTGTGAGATGAGAAAACTGTAATGTAGCATTTTGTCAAGCTACACTGCTACTTGTCAGTGGTGGAAAGAGTACTGAAAAGTTGTACTTAAGTACAAGTACTGTTACATTGCTGAAATAATACTCAATTACAAGTAAAAGTACTGGTGCCAAAACAGTACTTAAGTAAAAGTACAAAGTACTCTTCTCAAAAACTCTGCTCCGACAGGACAACTAACAATGAAATTTAATGTTCTACCTATTAGATTGTTTTTTTATTAACGTCTACACCTACCCCAACCCTAAACCTACCCCTTACAATAATGCAAAAAAATATTAATTATTGTTGTACAGTGTGACAAAAATTACACTGTATTTTTGTGCGCATGCCCAGTAGCGCCATATGTATCCCTTCTAGCCTTGACCCAAGTGAAACGGAATATTGAATAAAGGACGAGGCTATATTGTGGTGCACCTCCACTCCACCTCTTGCTCATAGCAGATTCACGGTTGGATAGTGGTTAAGAATATCTGCTTGTTACGTCTGACATCATGCTTCACCTCTTCTGGGTCCTAACGCTCTGCCAGACGCCCTTTCCTTGTTGGAAAAAAGTAGTTAGTGACTGGAAAAAGCAACATTATTTTGAAAACAACTGAGCTGTTGTCACGCTATGAAAAATGCAGTTAAGTTAGTAGTGCTACTTTTAGTTAGTTACTCCCTAGAACTGCACTCCCAGACACACACATGTATGCCCATCTGTAAACAACAACTAGCCGCTTTCCCCAAGGGTCCTCTGTTTGTGCTTTGGACTTAAGTTGCATTTGTGTTGAATGAGCTTGTTATTGAATTTTAATGTTGCACCTGCAGTCCTAGACTACAGGCCACTCTCTCTCTCTCTTACCCTCTTTTCTCTTGCTATTCCTCTCTCTTTCTTTCAGCTCATTGGCATTTCAGCCGTCAGCTCTAGAGTTTGGGCGATATGATGGATTGTGACTGGCTTTGCTCATCTGTCATTTTGTCTTTCATGCAGAGCTCTTTTCTATGGGGTCTGGGGCTTTAGGGTAGATTAACATTCACATAGATGTCTAAGTGGAAGACATCTGAAAAGAGGAGACTTAAAGGATTCACAGTTTGCCTTTTGAATTGGAAAGATCAGATTTAAGATGTGTCTATAACTGTCTAACAGTATTACAGGGTAAAACTTGATGTCAAAGCAGATCTGATAAAACGTGATTTTTGCAGAATACATTCCATTGGCTTTCATGGTTTTGAAATATTCAGAGGGGTAATTCAGAATACATCACACTTTCAGTTCAGATGTTTTTTCTGCACCGTTGTATCTTATCCACAGCTGTGCATGAAGTATAAAACATTGAAAAATGTGTATAATGCATACAATTTCAGCTATAAGGATTTTGCTTAGCTTTAAAAAGTCCAAAACAATTTTTATGCATAACAGTTGTTGGGGAAAAGCAATCATGCTGCTTAAACACTCTTTCTTGAGTCTCTAAGTACTGTTAATTTGACACACAAATTTTATAGCGAACAATTAGAGTGGTTTTGGTTAACGAATCAGTTGAGTAAATGAATCAGTGACTCACTTAAAACACACAAAAAGATGAAAACCTGTTGAAACAGTCTCTTAGCCAATCAGTGAATAAATCTAAACATGTCTGTACCACAGTTACATACAGAGTCTATTTGTAGCTTCCAGTTTATGGTTCATATTCTGAACACCAACAAAAATTGGCTGTTTGTGTTACTGTGGTCATTTCGGAGTTCATTAATAGAGTTCACTAATTTACTTGATGTAACTTTTGACAGATGTCCTCTCTGATTCTTTTCTTTCAGGCTCCAGATTCGTTCTGCTTCAGGGCAGCCAGTTGGACGCATCTGATTGGCTGAACCCAGCCCAGGTGCTGCTGTACTACCAGCAGAATGCCAGTGGCCCCTGGGTCAATGATCTGTGTGGCCGCCGTCTCTTGGACCCCTGTGAGCACCAATGTGACCCAGATACAGGTACAACACACCACCCTGACATGATTCTGTACTTCACACAGCTCATGTAGAATGTCTGACACCGGGAGCAACACACACTCTGAGGGACATACTTAGGATAGTTCATCTGAAAATCAAAAAAGTCATCACAAAATCATCACAAAAGTCACCTTCATGTCTTCTAAACTTTCTTCCTCTGTGGAATACAAGAGAAGATATTTTGTAAAATGTCTTAGTGTTGTTTTGGACCCCACTGATTTTATTGTATGAACAAAGCAGTTGAAACATTCTTCACATTCTTCTTTTGTGTTCCACAGAAGAAAAAGTCATACTGGTTTAAAATGACATGAGAGTTTCATTTTTGAGTGAACTATCCCTTCAATCTGCACATTGGGTATTTTTATATTTTTTGCCTTGCTTTCATTAGTCTGCGTCTTTGCCTAATTAATCATTAAATAATCTTTTTTTCCACCCCTTCGCCCATCCCCTCCACTGTGTAAAATCAATGTGTTCACCGAACTGCAGTTGTAACGCAGCTTCATTTAAAGAGCAGGAGGAACTGGAGAGAGAGGCTTAGCTCTGATTCATCTATCGTTTCATTTGCAGATTTCTCTGAAGGTGTCTCTCTTGAGTGAACAGTATTAAGTAATGCAAGCTTAGTTGAGCGAGAGCTGTGAGGACAGTAATGCTTGGCAATGAATCTTTGTAATGTAAGACTTGGGCATATACAGCTTGAGTGACCTGGATTAGAATGTTTTTTCTGTTTTTTTTTTCCTTGGCTGGGACGTAAATTAGGCAAAGCACAGATCAAATGGAATGCCTTAACTTCAGGATATTCTGAGCCAGGGAAGCATTAATATTCTAGATGATACTTTATTAGATTCTGGAATGTTGAGTTGTATGTTAACACTCCAGATGAACTTAGACCATCTAAGATCTTAGCAGTTTGAAGTTATTAATTCTAGTATTTACTTCAGTAAATACTTCAGCAGTTTGAAGTAATTAATTCTGGTATTTACATGCTGAAATGCAGAAGGGTAGTTGAACATGGACATAATGTGCTTTCTGAATGCAAAATGGTCCAGTTTCACTTTGTCTTCACTTTCATGTAATTTCAAGTGTTTTTAGCTGTTACATTATATTCACTATATAAAGCTAATGTTATTCACTTACTATAATACAGCTTGTGGGCAGTTTTCCTCCTATCACCATGTATTGAAAAAGTGCAAAAAATGGCTAAACAAATGAATTTGAATGAAATACAAATACATTTGAATTAAATTGAAAATGTTTATTTTCATGTTTATACATACAGTATTAACCTATTAGGTAGAAAAATAAGATGCAGCATCAAATAAATTCAAACTAAGACGTTTTAATCATGTATTTTAGTTTTAGTACAATTATAATATGAGAGCCAATTATTTACTTTTGAAAACAGATAGCGGCCTTTGTATTATAGGAAGGCCTTGCCATCATATTTGGAGGTCCTTAGCTTAATTAACACCAACAACAATTTCCAATTGCTTTTTGTTCTGTTTTATTTTATTCTGTTTTAAATGCCAGGACACACTACATACCTATGAAAGTTATGAGAGTGTTAATGAATAATCTCAGGCAGTGGGCAGACGTTTTTTCTGTTTGCATCATACATTTTAATGCACTGCATTAAATGCATCTGCATTTTACCACAAAAAAACTGCAACTTTGTAAGCTGAGATTGATCTTTTCAGTTTTATAGTTGTTCCAGTCAGGCAAAACATAGCCAACAGACACAACAGTTACATCAAAATGAATAGTAATACATTCGCTTTATAGCTATTTTTTCCGATCATCTGCAGCAGGAATTAGTCCAACGTTGTTATCATTTGTTGACAAGTTCCTCCTGTTTGCATCCATAATTCAAAAGAGGAGCTCCACTGGGCTTTGAAAAGTGAATCTTCCAACCCTAAATGAATCAAAGTTGGACCGTTGGGAACTTGCCTTGGTTTTCTCCAAATGAAATCTAAAGGATGAGGCCTTGGTACTGCCACGGTTCAATAATTGCATTGTGCTGTCGGTGTGTGAGGGGTGGGGGTTGTAGACTATGTGGCGGAGGATATTCACGGAAAACTGTAAGACTGTCTCAATCAAACAGGAGAGGGAGATACTGATGAAAGCGGGGATGGGGAGCGACAATAACCGGACTGTGTGCACTTTAAAAAAGATTGTGAATCAGAGGCGCAGAGGATGTGTAAAAGCCGAGATGAGAATCGGACTTATAACAGGCCTCTCGGAGACCCTTTTCACCTCCCTCATTCCCATAAGGATTCAGGGGACATTTATTAAACAAGAACACATGATGTTGTGTCTCAGGCTACCTGATCCTTGCACTTTCGTTTCATTAATTTGACTGAATAATAGATGCCCTACAGACACTCTCTGTGGTTGCGGAAAGAGAGGAATTACTTGGGACTTAAAAAGTTCATTAATATGTAATTCTACATAGTCACTTTCTCTGTGTCTCACACACACACACACACACACACACACACACACACTCACCTCTTTTTACTTTGAACTGTAAAAAGGCAGTTCTCATACTGATACTCCCGAACACTGTCTATAGGCCACTAAAATCCAACATATTATACCTCGCTTGCCTTTTTGCATAAAAGGTCAATTAGTATTCGATAGATTGGACAAAGTTGTTCAAATAATTAGTTTTGGTTTTTACATGCTGAAATGTCGAAGAGTAGTTGAACATGGACAACGTGTATTTATTTATTTGGACAGCATTTGCTGTATTTGTAAAAACTGATTTGTATTTCTGGACAAATAAATGTAATATACAAATTTAACAAATAAAGTGCGTGTGAAGTTAATGCAAAATAAATATTTTCCAGATATCTCAATCAAAACATATAGCTGCCTTTATATGTATTTTTTTAAATGCCAGTACATGCCAACTACAGTATTGATGAATAATCACAGACAGTAGGCGGAAGTTTTTGTGTTTGCATCATAATTTTTTTATGCATTTTATCTGCATTTTGGTATATAAAAATTTATGATAATACATTTGCTTTATAGGCATTTCTCTGATATTACACCTTGTTCACGTTTTTCTCATAATAGGTTAATGTTAAATTGACTGGTCAAAGTTGTTGAAGTAATTAATTCTGGTATTTACATGCTGAAATGCAGAAGGGTAGTTGAACATGGACATACATATGTTGTTGTTTTGTTTTGTTTTTGTTTTTTTTAGGTTAAAAATTATATATTTCATCATTTGAGGTTTTGGAACCGGAATGCACAATAATTAATTATAATACAATTAGAAAGATTTGTAAAACAGTTCAGATGGAGTACAGCATGTCACACTGCAGGACACTTATTTTGCACTGCAGTACAATTTCAAGGTAATAAGTGATTTTGACATGTTGTTTCCAACAGTTAGACTCCCATATGCTGTGTACACATAAATAAGTAAAGTTTTGACTTATTTTATGTTTTTTAATGCTGTAAATCTCTTTCTGTCATGTAGAGATGTCACACTCCAGGAAATAAATAAATTAACATTGGAGTACTTCCACATACAGCTTTGATTTTGACAGCTTAAAAGCTAGATTTTTTTTTGTTTACTTCCAGTTGGGTTCTTAATTAGCAACATTTGCAATGATACCCAAGAGAATGCCCCAAAAATCAAATGCTCAATAAATAGTAGGCTATAAATGGTAGAGTATAGGATTTGGCCTCCTATGCCTTACTCACAGTATAGGAAAAATCTGCTTCTGCATATATTCTGTGAAGAAAAAAAATCAACAAGGTATGTATTTCTTATGCATACACCACTGGCTGAGCACCTGCTGGATATCCTCAATAATCAGTCAATCACAAAGCCACTGGGTACATGTTTCCTGGCAAAATTGTAATTTACCACCCAGAGCCATAAAGGCTCCCTGCATCTCATTTGAATTGATAAAAATGCTATTATTACCTACGGTACAAGTTTAATTTCAGTTTTACAAATTACCTTGGCAAAGCTAAAACAGTTAACTATGCAAATAATAGCAGTGCTAGACCTTATTCTTGGCTTGTCAAAATGTACTAATGATCAGTAATAGATCAAATAAAGTGTTTATGACCGACAAGGGACTAGCTGCACTGCGTTTTTTTTTTTTTTTTATTAATTAAAGACAAATATATCAATATGGGGTGCTGTGTGTACATTAATGAGGAAAAAAAAATTAACTTAAATGATTTTAGCAAATGGCTGCAATATAACAAAGAGTGAAAAATTTAAGGGGGTCTGAATACTTTCCGTACCCACTGTATATATATATATATATATATATATATCATAATCATTCTAATATGCTTATTTCTATTATCATATTAAAAACAGTTGTGCTGCTTAATATTTTTGTGGAAGCTGATACTTTTTAGGATTCTGTGATGAATAGAAATTTCAAAAGAACAGCATTTATTGAAATAGAAAAAAACTGTTGTATATAATTGTATAAATGTCTTTACAGTTACTTTTGATTAATTCGATGCATCCTTGCTGAATAAAAGTATTAATTTTGCTGTAAAATTCTTGCTGAACCCAAACTTTTGGAAGTATTTTAGATTAATATATTTAACAAAAGTTTGATAAGACAAAAGTTGACTGCTAATACAGCAACAGCAACTGTATATTTATCTCATAATTGATGTATTTAGTTTTGTAGAATTCCTTTTAATGTCTTTAAAAAAAAGATTAGTTGGCTTTCTCTCCAATTTGCATCTTTTACACCATACAGTTGCCCAAGAATCAGTTTTTCTCATGTTAGTCAGAGCATCAGTGTTGCAAATCCAATACTAGTCTGCATAATGCAGAATTTAAGGTCACTTATATTGCATTAGCAGAGCTCTGGGTGTATGACCTGAGAAGTCAACATAATCACTGACATTGTCCAAGTGTATTGATGACTGCTACTGTGCACAATGTCAGCAAATGTTTTCCTTAGCCTTTTCCATATATTGTCCTCCCACTCATAACACATTTGTTTCCATGTTTGCCAGCGCAGTTTTTTCCTCTGTGCCCCCTCTGTATTTGCATCACTCTGCTCACACATGTCCTGCTCAGGGTGCAGCCTCATCAGTCCCATGAACCCAAATCATGACCGACATGCCTGTGGTTTGGCCTGACAAGACTGATCAGCTGAGCTCAGAGTGATTAGACTTGTCTGAGCCATGAGCACGACTGAAGAGGGCTGACACAGGGAATCTGCTGTGCCTGCTTATATGCTTCAACACACACAAAACAGCATCCATTTATAGCACTGCACGTCTGGAGAATCGCCATAATGTAAACATGACAATGAGGTCATTTTCACTTGACCCTGAAGAGAGACAGAGAGACGATTAGACTACAGATCGGGGTATGGTGACAATGCGAGTGGGTAACAGCAAAGTACAGGAGAAATCATGCGACTCCATAGTGGGGTAAAATCGGTATGTCATGTTCACAGCTGCTTCACACATGAGTCTGAATGGGTTAAACTGGTGGAAACGGACTAAAAGTAAGCAAGTCAGTGGTTCAGAAAACATGAGTTCCTGCATCTAAATGACCTTGAAATAGCCTAAAACGCAATGGTCTGTGAGTCAGCTCAGTTAAATGAAAGGTGCACCTCTGGGTCTGTGACTATCATCCTACTTGCTTTACTAAGAATTTGTTGACTAATGATCTAAAGAGAAGATGATATACTTGTTACTATTATAAATATTATATTTGAATCAATGTGAAAATGTGTAAACTTGATGTGACTTTTTAAATGTATTTATATAATGTATAATTGTGTTTATATATTTTTAAATATATAAATAATTTTTTTGGTAATGTAAGGTAAATTATGTTCCATATGCCCCTAACCTGAAAATATCAAACTGAACTGGAAGAAAAATGTAACTGGAACAAAAAGAAGAACAGCCAAACCCAGAGAAGGGACATTGCTTTTTAATTTCAGAGGTCTATCATACACACACACACACACACACACACACACACACACATATTGTACTGGACACAGTATAATGTAGTATGATCAATTATTAATAAAACATATCTGGGGTTGTGAATGTTCTAAAAATTAAACAAAATGGGAAATAAGTTTAATTATTTACTTTCTATGGATGTGCTTCAATAAAATCCCTTCACCAAAAATTACAGTGGTAACTGCATTTATTTATTTATTTTTTTGTTGTTGTTTTTTTTAGGAAAAAATAAAAGTGACTGCTACAGTGACTGTTGATCAAATAAAACTAAATTGTTATAGAGAGAATATTAGCCACAATTGTCATAAAAAATAAAAATGAGAACTATTCTAAAAGCGTCATAAAAGGTGCTTCTCTGCATTTAAAAACTAGATGGATGGATGGATTAAAACTAGATGGATCACAAAAGAATGGAATAAAACCGAAGTGTCTCTAGGCACATTTTTTAAAAGTTAAAGACAAGTCTTTCTTCAGTTCTTTAACTGACATGGAGTCAGCTAGTTGCTGGAAAAAAAGTGAGACTCCTATCTAGCATGTTTACATAAGAAAAACTAATTAAAAACAGCATAGTTAGACACATCTTTTATTTTATTAATTTTTTTTTTACAGTGTTTGAAGGAAGTCCCTTAGTAATTTATGATGATTTTACAGTAGTAACAATATCATTTTGGCAGAAAGCTGGTACCATCCTAACTGACGTCCTGCAGGGACACATGACAATCATTGTTCAGCACAGCTGTATAATACTAATAATGTTTTTCTCTTATTATCAGTGATGGTTTAATGTACTTTGTCTGCTTACAGGAGAATGTCTCTGTTTCGATGGCTACATGAAGGACCCTGTTCATAAGCATCTATGTATTCGCAATGAATGGGGCCCAAATCAGGGGTGAGTACCATACCATACAAACAGGGATCTGCCATCTTGAAGTTGGCCATGCTTCTTATCTGTAGTAAAAATGTCTCCAGTGCCGATAGCCAGCCAGGTGTTATGCACTGTAGGGAAATTAAATTGGCTTGTTTGAATTAATTTGCTTTTTTTTTGCATGATGCTCTTCCTCTGGAATTGGAAAAGGGATTAGCACAGCGAAGCTCTGGGTCATTTTAGATTTGTGTGACAGTGATTTACACTTCAGTATACCAATGAGATACATGTATTGTGCATTTTAAATTGCGTTACACATGTAAGAAATTATGTGTCTTGCGTGCCTCATATCCAAGCGCTGCTGTTAAAATGATCAAAGAGAAATAACTATTTTGAAATTCTTTGTTTCAAAACTTTTGTTGTTGCCCTCAGATATTTTATCAGAGGATTGAATATAAGATTAACTGCATCTGAACAGATGGTATCTTTAATCTGAGGTAAAAGTGTGAGTGCGCCTAACCAAACTGCTGCTTCTTAAATCAACAGACAGATGAAGCACAAATACTACTCGAGAATGGCATAAAATAAAAGGGTGTTTTGCTACTTTGCAGTCTAGATATAGTCAAAACACTTAAATGTTAGAGCACAAGTTTCTAATCCCAGATAGACTTGTATTTAAGATGTTTGAAGTTAATTAGACCCTCCCTGAGGAGAGTTTCACATGCTCATCTGGGTTTCAGGCTGTCGCTCTGGAGCAGTTTGATTAAGACTTGGAGGTGAGGAAATCCTTGGCATTTTAATTGGGAGGGAGATGGGAGGGATGACGGTATGTGAGAGGGATCCGATAATTAGAAATCAAATTGGAACAATCAGGAAGATTGCCTTAGGGGAGTGGAATAGCGTTGGATATGCTTGTTCCCTTTATGCCATGCTGTGAAGGTGTGAACCGTTTTTAATTGACTCTAACACTTAGTGGTGGAGAAAGAAAGTCCATTGCCAAATGCTTTCTAAAGTTTCAAAGTGCCAAGATATTTCCTAAACTCTTTCCTGCAAATGTTCATATGTAGCCACTTTTTCTTTATTTTATATATTAATGGAATTGTTCACCCCAAAAATTATAACTTATCGTTTACCTTGTCAAAGTGAATTATACTGTCAAACATCACATGTTGCATACATCTAGTTAATATGACTTATGCATTTATTCAAGGTTGTCTGAAAATATTGACCATTTGCATAAACCGCTTCGACTAGTCTTAAATAGTCATCTATTTTTCCCCCTGCAAGACTGGTCATAACATTTTAGTTACCCTTAGAGGTAGATTGGTCTATTTGAATCAGAAAAGTAAGACTGATTATCACTTGGTTAACTGCTAGTTGGTCAAACTGGTTCACAGTCTTAATATAGTGGCTATCTTTATAGAACTTGTCCCATGACTTGCTGTGTGGTACTAACAAAACATGTAGATGTTGTAAGGAAACTGACTGAAATAATTTTATTACATTTTATTATTTTAATATTTTGAACCTTTCTGTGTAATGGATTCTCAGAATGCTCCTGCTTTTGGTTCTCTTGTGAATTGGGAATGCTGCAGGACAAATGTTGATGTTTAAATAGCAGTAGGTGATCTGTGGTATGAAGTGGTCTAACCAGGCTGTGACTGCTCTTTTGCTGTGAGTAACAGCTTATTTAGAGAGGCATCAGCTCCTTGTATTTTCTTTTATACTGCAGCGACAGCCTCTGTCCCCACAGCTGCCGCTCTGCATTAATCTCCATCAGTTCACATAGAGCTTTGGATAAACACACACTTGAAGTCACGCTCACGTCTGACACTGACTGACAGAGATGCTACTGTCGGGTCACAGTTTTTACAAACAGCATCTGCTGGAGGAATTTCTGTGATATTCATATTGGGAACATAATTGGTTTGATGTGAGTTCACAAAGGAATGGTTATGTTTTCATCTCAAAGTCATTCAATTGTAACGGTCACATGGCTTTAGTGAAGACTGGAGCTGTTTAACAATGAATGAAGAGTCTATAGTGTGACGTACAGTTTTTAAAGCATGAATTATTTTTTTTGTTTTTGATTTTCTGCCATTTCTGTTTTGCAGCCCATGGCCCTACACAATTTTCCAGCGTGGCTTTGACTTGGTGATGGGAGAGCAGCCATCTGATCGCATTTTTAGGTAAGAAAAATGATCACTTTATCATACCTGTCAACCCTCCCGTTTTCCCCAGGATTCTCCCGTATTTTACCATTCTATCCCGCTAACATCCCGTTTAAATATTTTCCCGTATTTTTTGTCTTTCTATAAAAAAAATCCTACTGGGCGTATTTTATATGTTTGCTACATTCGCCTCCGGTAAAACTCCTGTAATTTGTATGGCCCAAACCTCATTATATGAATAATCACATCAACAAATTCCAAGGTTGCCCAGTCGCCAGATCTTGTATGAAATGCATCCTTCTCACACAATTGACACATACAAATTTCAACCCATTTGTCACCTTAACTTGGCAACCTACAACAATGATGACTACCGCGGGAAGGAAAGGATAACTGGTAGAAATGGGAAGGGAGGAGAAGACTCAGGTGGTGCTCCGGTGAAAAAAACAAATATACATGCAAATTGAGATATAGCTTACACTTCAAAAGGCTATGGTTTAATTGATTAAATATGAGCGCTGCAAGTTGCAAAATCAGGTGCTGCGCTGCTTTGTTTACTGCGGTTACCGGGGAAATGGCTATATTCCTGGCATAAAGCAAAAGAATGATGAGAGAATGAATTTGCATTTTTCAATAAGCCCTTCTGCTTTTTGTTTTAGTCCAAAGCCAAAAACGGCCTTTATTTTTATGCAGAAAACACACAGTTTGATATACACATAGTTTAAATGATTGTTTGATAATATTTGTTTAAATTAATATAATAAATTATATTTATTATATCCCGTCCCGTCTCCCATTTTTTGGTACACAAATGTTTACAGGTATGCTTTATTTGTACTATAAAGCCTATGACCCAGTTCAAATTGAGGACTAAAAATACTGAAAATATTAGGAACATGTCAATGAAGTAGTGCAATGAACAATGTATACATAAAAGGAGACTAGTTTTTTTTCAAAATAATTCTAAAAATAAATAAATAGAACATTATATTTTATATGACTGCAGAAAATAAGCTTTGAAAAAAGGGTGCTGACAAGCATGTAATAGGTTTCTGTTGAGACGGAGTAGCTTGTGAAATAGAGTACACTTATTTTGTCATTTTGGCTAAGCTGGCATTTCTTTATTCAGCTTCAAAGAGCTCTATTCACAGTTCAAAAAAACTACTGAAAATAGAAAAATGCTGTAATTACTTTTAATACAGGGCCACTGAATGCGGTTCATCGTGATTAAAAAAAAAATCATACATGTACAAAGGTGGGGATTTAGACGATGTTTACCACTGGCTATAACTGGAGACTCAAGACTAATCAGTGCATTGCTTTATGCACTGGAGATGTTTCAATCTGTGAGGTGTATGTTTTGGAATATTTAGAAATGCTAATCCAATTCTAGCAACATATGGTTACCTTTAGTTGCCATGCATAATCTTCATGTTCTGAATTATTCATAGATCTCATCCATGACATTCTGAAGTCCTTTGATTGTTCAACCCTAATTCGTTTGCACAAATCACAAGCTATTTATTTACAAATCTTGTGAACCTGGGCCCGTATTCACAAAACATTTTATCTTGCAACTAAGAGTTCTCCTAAATAGCAGTAAAAGTTTTTAGCTAAGAGTTTTCTCTTAAAACCTATTCACAAAGCTGCTGAGACAAACTTTTACTAAGGAACAGAGAGAAGTCTTAAGCTAAGAGTAAGGACGGGGTTGACCTCGTTGCTATGGATGATGTCAGCATGCTTACTAACTATGCACACAGTGATTGGCTGATTGTCTCTGTCCGATTTATTCATGGAAATATTGTAGAGTGTAATATTATGTTGCCATATTAAAAAAAAAAAAAAAGTTAATTGCCATTAAAATAAAGATTTTAAAATGCAGGATAAGTGTCACTAATTAAACAAGTATATGTTCAGCTTATTGTCAGCCTCTTACACGTATGCTTCTCATAATTAGTGAATATGCATATAAACAGCCTTTTAATTAACAGAGTAGAATAATCATGGCTGATAGTAATACATGCAAATGTAAAAAAAAACTGAATGCAAGAACAGCTGTTACTTCTTGCCCAACTGGTTAATGAAAACAAGGATATAATCAAAAGAAAATTTGGAGTTGGGATAACCTCCAAAACCAAAGGTGATACCTTTTTAAAAGGTCATTATCATCAAATGTTTCTAAAATAGTTTATGTTCCTAGGCAGACTGCCGGCAACAGAAATTTTAGGATAGTTTGTGGCTTGGTCTTAGTGACTTAGGAGTCCTCTTCACTACTCCTAACGTTTCACAGATTTAGGAGCTAGTTTTAGTGCTAAAACGCTTTGTGAAATAATCTTAGAACAACAATTTAGGAGTCCTAAATTTAGGACTGACATGCCTATTATTTTTAAGATTTTCTCCTAAATCGGCGAGTTATGAGCTACTTTTAGCCTTAAGATGTTTTGTAAATATGGGCCCAGATTTCTTTCTCATTTGAAAACAACACGGGAGGGCATCTTTTAATTGGAATCTGTGTTATAACCCCAAAAGGTGTAAAATCTCATATCCCTTGGCTTTGGGCCACCAAACAAATACATTTCATTGGGACAATTAAATGTTTTATTTCCAAACAAACCTGCACAGACATGAATGCTTGAGACGACTTGAATGAAAGATTTATTTTCAATTTCACAGAGCTTTTCCTCATACATCATTGATTTGTGCCATGAATGAATAGGAAAGCCCATAATCAATTTTGAATGCTTCACTTATTCATTTATATATCTAACTTTCAATATCAGACTCAGAAATTATGTGACTGATATTTGTTAAACTTTTAAAAGTGGAGCTATAAAGTACAAGAGTGGGAGACGGAGAGATGTTGGACAGATGTTATGGTGCAAGTAACCATCCAATTTGGAGATTTTTGATTTACTTTCCAATCTGCAAACCATTCAAAAATAGGAAAATAAGGACCTTTTACACTTAAATCATGCATTACTGTGTCTGTAAACATCCAGTGCAAACTGTGGTTCTCACATCAATATGTTGAATATTGCTGCTTGTAACAGAACTGCTTTTTATGGTTATTTCTTTCCGTCCTGTTCTGAGGTTCCGACTTTGTTTGTTATTGAGTCAGTGTGCTGAGATATTTTAAAAGGTACCCTCACTTTTTTGATTGATGTGATTTTCCCTTTTAACTTCCATCTGCGAGGAGGGAGTTTTATCCCTGCTTCAGCGTTTTGTTCGATAATCCATTTACAAACATTTCCTGCAAAACTCAATTGAAGCCGTTTCACACTAGCAGGTGACAATATTCAAATGTGTCAAGCTTTATGTTGCGTCCCCTTTTTCTTGAATCTGCATATTACAAAATGCTTGGGTGAGTTTTCAGCAAATCTGTGGTGTTCAAAAATATATTTTTATGAAACATCTATGAGTATGGTTTGCACTGCCTCCAAAATTTGACAAAAAACTATTACTTTAACAGATCAGTTTACTATTAACAGCATTTTTGACAAGGGAAAAACGCTGTGTGCACATGAAATGATCCAGGTTTAATTGGATTGAATGTAAACGGTAGCTGATGATGGATGATATATTGACATAATTGAGCTTGTGGTTACAGCTGATGAGGCACACACACTACCTAGGTGTGATGAGATTCATGTGGAGAAATCCAGACTGATGAGTGCAACTGGAAAACAAGCTTGCTGTGTATTGCAGCATATTGTGGTCAGAATTCAAACGCAATTGCATTTGCATTTTCTAGAAGTGCAAAATGTATGCATTAAACACGCATTTGCTTTTGCATTTTTCTTAGAAGTGACAGTGCTCTTGTTATCGGTGCATTAATAAAATTGTTCACAGTTGCTTGTCTTTCCTATCCACTAGTACATGGGGTATTTAACACATCTCATGTAACAGATGTGTTAATAGGAATGGTATCTTACGTGAAAATGCCGAGAAGTTCCTCTTCATATGAAAATGTGCCATCTTTCCTGAAAAAACAGTACATTTATTTTGATATGCATAATATAGGCTATATTGTTATTTTATTGAAACCATATTTTTTTAGACTAGATGTTATTGAAAAGTCACTCTAATTTAGAGATGAGCATAGTATAATAGTATAATGATGAAATTGGTAGTGTTTTTTCCAAAAAGTCTCATTTATAATTTTTTATTCATTTTCAACTAAGAATCTTAATGTTGGTGCATTGCTCTCCATGAGGTTTTAAATGTGAGGTAAATAAGCCAACTGATTAATTGATTGTGTATGTTTTGCTTTGTCCAGCATCTATAATAATAACAGTTCCCTTTCAGTCGGTTACTCCGAGTCACATCGGTGACCGACGAATTGGGATATCGCTTTGATAGACCAATCTACTTTGAGTGTAAACTAAACGAGCCAATGCACATTGGCATGCAATTATTGCATCCAGCTGCCGCTGATCACAGCGTGAGTATAATAAGGCAACAGGTGCAATGCATACCAGGTTTTCGCTGAGGAGCCGAGCTGCAGCCTTGGCGAGCATAAATGACTTATTTCAAAAACATAAAAAAAATAGTATTGATCCTAAACTTTTGAATGATAGTGTACTGTGACGAGAGGGGCGGGGCCGGTGGAGTAAATGCTAATGCTCGACGCCTGCGCCACTCACCGGTCTCGAGTCCCACGGAGGAGCGCCGGAAGGATTAAAGGAGGAGTGACGACAGTGTTGGACGAGAGAGGATCAGGCCTGGACTTTATTTTGTGTTTTGGTTCTGTTTGTGCGTGACAGTCGTCCACGAGGGGCTGTCGTGCTATTTTGTGTTTATTTTATTATTAAAGTTTTGTTTGAATGTTCGCCGGTTCCCGCCTCCTCCTTCCCGAACTACGAACGTTGTGTAGGGTAAACAGTGATAATTTAATAATTTAGCTCAAAGGGAATAGCTTGTGATCACTGTCACATGTTTCCATGTGGCGGTCACGCTGTGCATCTCTTTTGACCATTATTCTTGATAACTTGCCCCAAAATTGGACTTGTCAATGTGTTCTTTTGTGTTAATGTTGAAAACTGTTCTGTGACAGGGGCTTAGGTTTAGGCTTGCTTCAGAGAGGCTGGGGTCCGATTTATGACATCCTGTTGTCAGGGGCCTCTGTGGAATTTTTGTGACTCCTCGTGCCTCAACTCGGTTCTGACCAAATCTTAGATTGTCTGATTCGGTCTGATATCCTACAGTTGTTACATGTACATAAACAACAACAGCAGCATAAATAAAGTCAGCAAATATTAAAACAATATTCCTATAACAGTAACTGCATAATTTATTCATACCACAATACGCACTGGGTCCTCATAAACCCTTAACAAATCAGCGACATTGTTAATTATAACAATAATTTGCCCTTAGCCTGCTTTGGACAACATTTGGATGAATATTGTCAGTCTAACAATTCACTGTTCTTAGTTGGCTATGTTTGACGAATGATAAAATGACATTGTATTTTTACAGTGTAGGTTTAAATCACATCTTCGCATGCTGGAAAACTAAAAGTGCTTCCAGTAATGTAATCATCTTATGCAAATAGAATTACTGAGGTGATTGTTTAGCTCATATACAGTACATGCTGCTGCCTTGAGATGCATGGGTGGAAAAAAATGATAGTTGAATTACTGGGGGAAAAGTGAATGAATGAATGAATCATTGAGTGATTGAATCAATGAATCATTCAAGTGCATCCTGGCTATTCTTCACAGAAAAAAAAAATCATGTTCATACTCGTGTCTTAGAGACCTTTTCCATTGCATGCAAGTCAGTGCTTGACAGAACTGAGTTTATTGATTGAGTGTTATGACACTAAGTCTTCAAATTGAAATGAAGTGCAGTAAAATAGAGCTAGCTTGTAGATATGCCAGTTTTCAATTACTCCTACAAACTCTTTGGACCTTCTGTTCTGGGCATTATTTTACAATGATCATTTGCTTTGTTTTTGTAGTCCTCTATGGATATCCACCCACAAGTTGATCTTATCTGCCTGGACGTCTCTCAGCACTAAAACCAGGGGGGTGGGGGGAGTTTTCAAGGTCAGATAAGCATTCCGGTAATGACTCAAGTTTTAAAATGTGCTACTGTTCCAGAGTGAGGGTCAAACTGAAAATGCAGTTATATTTGATTTTGCAGGGGAGAAGAGCAAAAGTTTGGAAGCAATTTTTTTCCTTTCAACAATCAGTTCGAACCTTTAGATGGATCAGTAAAAAAATACATTATTTGTTAAATCCTTGCTCAACTGTGCAGAGGTGGATACAATAAACCAAATGCATAAAAGTCTCTACATACATGTGGGAGTCTCTCATGAGGATGTATGGATTTTTTTTTCGTCAGAAATCATTCAGCGAATATGAACACTAACATGTCTATTTTTTATGTGAAAATGTGTCATTCGTTGTTACCCTGGACATCACTATTTTTAGATTCCTTCCCAGAATTTCAATTTAACCCTCATGGACTTTCTTTTTTATAAATTGTAAAACTACTGTCATCCAAATGCCAGTTTTCTTGTCTCACAATGTAGCTTGTCACACAATGCAGCAGCCTGAAACAGGCTGAATTATGGAAATTATGTTTTTTTTGGTAACATGGTGAGAGGTTTCTGAAATATACACTTTGGCCTTTTGTGTTTCAGATTCACATACACTCTTGGAGAAGGCATGTGGCTGCCACTTAGCAAAAGCTTTGTCATTCCTCCAGCTGAGCTGGCCATCAACCCCTCTGCTAAGTGCAAGACAGATATGACTGTCATGGAGGACGCCGTGGATGTCAGGTAGGAGATGACATTTTCAATCTTGTTTCAAGCTTGTTTCAAAGAAGAATAGCTGAACACTATTACATACTGAGATGCATTAGTTGATAGTCTGCCTAAAAATTTCAAGGGGCAAATAAAATAAACATTAGGGCTTATACCTCCCGAACCTTGTTAATAAAACATAATTTCACAAGTTCGCACTAACATATAATGTGATTAAGCAATTAGTAGCATATTTGGCATTCTGTCCAGAGGGAGGGCTCAGAGCTCGGGTTAAAGCCCGAACCCAGGGAACCCCCCCCCCCTCCCCCATCCCAAGAATGGGATGAAATTAGATTAGTAGTGAGGTGTTGGGGTGGAGACGGGATGCTGGAAAAACTTTAGTGGAACTGAGGTAAGTTGGCTGTATATATATATACATATATACACATGTATGTGCTTGTTAAGGTGATTAGCTGACGAGCTCCACCTGGGCCAGACTGATTGATTATCTGATCGTGCTCCTCCCAAACCTTGTTAATAAAACATAATTTCACGAGTTCGCACTAATATATAATGTGATTAAGCAATTAGTAGCATATTTGGCGTGCTGTCCAGAGGGAGGGCTCCCCAAAAGAAGCTAATGGCATGAGACAGCAGCCGGAGAGAAAACTGTAAGTAGCCCCCAAAAATATGCGTGCCGTGAAGAAAAGTAGGGTGTGCGAGGAGGCGGCAGGGCGACTGGGAGGGGTCGTACGGTGCTTGAACGTGAGCTGCGACTCTCTGCGTCAGATGGCAAGCCCTACCTGTTGCCGAATGAGGAGCATGATGGAAGGCCAGGTGAGGGACTCTCGCTGCATC